GCATAGTGCCTGAGTAGCTGAGACTACAGATATGTGTCAACACATCCAGCTTATATTTTAGGATTTTTTTGTAGAGACAGGGTTTCACCACATTGCCCAGGCTAGTCTTGAACTCCTGGGCTCAAGTGATCCACCTGTCTTGGCCTCCCAAAGCACTGGGACTACAGGGTGAGCTGCCATGCCCAGCCTTTCTTCTCTTTATGAATGAATTCTATGGAATAAAAATACTTACTGCAAAATTGTACTCATAACTTTGGTATTGCTTTTCTGACAAGGACAGCTTTTCTTGCTATAAAATGCCTTAAAATTTAACATGAGTAATATCAATTAATTGTAGAGAAGTAAGAGTTTACATAAATGTAGCATCATCAGAGTGCTTTTTTTACTTAAGGCTGGGAAAAAACCTTAACACCATCCAGTTCAAATAATTTTTTAATCTTTAAATTTTCCCTGAAAAATATTCTCAACATTTTGAGACTCTAATATTCAACAACTTCTCATATCTCTATGAGTAAAATTAATAATTACTGTCATGAAGTGCTAATGATGATGCCAGTGGATTGATGAGTCTCCCTTAGATATGATGGAGAGAAAGAAAAGTAAAAACTATGCAGTATCTGTTCCAAATATCCTTTCACAATATAAATCCTATATCTAAATCTAATCAGGACTTCAAATAAAAGTCATTGGCAAAAATTTAGTTTTTGAAGTTACACTATATTTAAAAATTCAAAAAGAGTGAGCTCATTACATGGATTCCATAGCAATCCTGAGGAAAAGCAAACAGCAAAGTCCAGTATTTGTCATAATTAATGATGAAAAATCATATTATACAGAAGAATGAGTAAGAATGAAATCCAGATCAAAAGCCTCCTATGTTAATGAAACTTTTGGAAGACATGGATTGACATTCTTGTTCAGTTGCCTTGCTGACTGGACAAGCTAATCTCCCTGAGCTCTAGTTTTCTATGTTATACAATGGGGATGTAATTCTCTCCTAGTCAAAACTCCTCCACTAGAGTTGCAAATATTAAAAATTAAATGTGACTGTATCTAGCATACTTTAGTGAAAATTATAAGCACTGAATATATATTGTATTTAATAAATAATTCAATTTTAAGGACAAATAAATATGCAATATGAGAATGAGTATTTTCAAATCTTTTTCTTACACACACCTTATAATTAGTTACAAGTATAAACTCTCTTTTAGAAATAAACTCTGTGGTTAAGATTATCTCTTACCTTTTCTTGTACTGTCCTTAGCAATGCTTTAATATACCAAAGGATGACTTGGCTTCTTAATTGCCATCCCTAGCCTCCACACTAGTTGTTTTTATTTGTTTAATATACAACACTTAATGTGGAGCAAAATTTTTTTTTTGAAGCGAAATATTTTATTTTGAGATAGATTGAGAAAATATATAGCAACCAACTGACACGTCATAAGCAAAGAAACTAGCTTATATTTTTAAAAGGTATGCTTATAAATGTAGGGATAAGTATAATTAGATTGTTTACAGTACAAAGGATAAATGCTTGAGGGAATGGGTACCCTATTCTCCATTATGTGATTATTATACATTACATGCCCATATCGAAATATCTCAGTATCTCATGTACTCCATAAATATATATTAACTATGTACCAACAAAAATTTAAAAAAGTAGGCATAAAATAAAAATTACTGTGTCTTTCACATATTTTTTAAAGCATTAACATCTAATGAATGACATTTCCCATGTTAAAAAGTATGTTAAATTTTTAACAGAAGGTTCTGAGAGAAATAAAAGTTTTGGAAATCATGGCCCTAAATAATCTAGCATGCTGATTTTCACAATACTGAATGAGTATTTGATGCCAACCTATTTTAGCAAGATTTCTAACAATTTGAGAGATCTTAATATTATTCAAATTTTTATTCATTTTACTTGAGTAGCTATGATTAGAAACTTCTATATAATTATCATAGTATATTTTAAAATATGCTCTGATTTATTACATTTGAATTCTCCCATCACGTTTTGAAAATAGTGATTCTCGAAAGCAAAACTTTATGGAGGTTTAGAAATAAGAGGAAAACTTAAGAGCTTGAGGAGGGACCTTTAATTTTTATTGATTAAAAACATGACATCCAGAGTCAGTGTATGTCAAATTTATAAGTCCCCTGAAGAGAGAAAGAGTGATAATGTATCCCCCTGGAAACATACAGGTCAAGGTTACACTCTGGATAACCCAACATTTGGTAGTCTTATAGTTTATTATAAAAATTAATGCAAAATTTAGATTCCTGGTTTCTTTTTTTCTAAAATTCAGATGTTGAAACGTGAATTTCTGGTTCCTATCTGGAGAGTTAGAGAACCACAAAGAGCAAAAAACAAAAACGATGGACAAACCTGTCAGAGTGATCATCTTATAGTCTGTTTAGAGCGGGACGAGGTAGAGCATTATACACAGAAGACCAAAGAATTATGGCAGTCTTTTACAAAATCATAGAAGGTAGATAACAAAGTGCTGAAAGACAAGAACTGTCCACATAAAATTCTATACTTAAGAAAATATTTTTTAAAATAAAGGAGAAACGAAAACTTTCTTGCCAAAAAACAAATGGTAGAAACGTACTGCCAGCAGACCAACTCTTCAAGATATTTTAAAAGCCCTCAGGTGAAACAAATACACCAGTAGGAAACTTGGATTTAAACAAAGAAAGAGCAATCAAAACTAAATAAATAAAAGTAAAAAAATTATTTATTCTTATGCTTATTCTAAACTGATCTAAGTGTTCAAATGTTCAAAGCAAAAATAGGAAAACCTATTATTTGCTTATAGCATTTGTAAATGTAAAATGTGTCACAATTTGTGGTACAATAGAAGCCATAAAGTAATTGGCATTTACTGTCCTTAGATCATTACACTGCATATGAAGCAGCATAAAATTCTGTGAAAGCAGATTTTGGTTAATTAAAGGTATATATTATAAATTGTAGAGTGAACAGTAAAAAACAATAATAAAATATGAACATGTAATAAATAGCTCAACAGAAGAGAGAGGATGCTCATTAACTCAGAGGAGAAAAAAAAGGAAGGAAAACAAAGCAAAAAGAGTATGAAGCAAATAGAAAACAGCTAACAAACTGGTAGATTTTAATCCAACCACATCAATAATCACATTGAGAGAAATGGCCTAAACATACCACTTAAAAGAGGGATTATCAGATTGGATAAAAAGCAAGATCCAAATAAATGCTATTGATTTTAAAAAATTACCTTAAGTACACAAACATATGCAGGTTAAAAGTAAAATGATGGGGAAAGATACCGCATGCGAACACCAACCAAAAGAAAACAAAAGCAGTGATATAAATTTCAGACAAGATACACTTTAGCATGGTAAATACTATCGGGGTTAAGAAGGGCCATTACATAATGATAAAGGATTGGCTCCCCAAGAACATAAAAATCCTAAAAGTCTACATACCTAACATACATGTTTCAAAATTCTTAAGGCAAAAAAGTGATAAAACTGAAAGATCAAATAGGCAAACTGACATGCATAGTTGGAGGTTCCACACACCCCTTAATAAAGTAGGCAAAAAAAAAACCAAAAAAAAAACAGTAAAAATATGGATAATCTAAATACCATCAAAGAATTTGACTTAACAGACCACTGATCCCAACAAAATATATGCTGTCTTCAAGTGCACATGAAATATTTACCAAGACATGCCATACTCCAGACTATAACAAATACTAGAACATTTATTTAAAAGAATAGAAACTATAAAATGTGCGTTCATGGATCATAAAGGAATTAAATAAACAAACAAAAAAAAATAGCAAAAACATACCTGGAAAACCGCTGTTTGGAAATTAAGCAACACATTTCGAATGAAACCATGGGTTACAGAGGGTTCAATGGAAATTTAAAACATTTTAAACTAAGAAAAAAAAATACAGCATATCAAAATGTATGAAATGCGGCTAAAATATTGCTTAGAGATAAATGATTAGCATTAAATGCTTTTATTAGAAAAGGTCTAAACCAGTAATTTAAGTTTCCACATTAAGAAACCAGAAAAAAACACAAATCAAGAAGATGGAGAGAATGTGGAGTAGAGCAAAAATCAATGTGAGTAAAAAACAAACGCAATATAGAAAAATCGATTAAATAATACAAAATCTGTTCTGAAGTGGAGAAACGTCGGTAAAAATTTAAAAAGGGAATTAATTAGGAAGAAGCAAAGAGTGGAAAACCTAAAGAGCAAAAGATGTAGAAAAATGTAATGATGATGCCACCTAACAGTGGTGTGTCCTTTTTTTGTTTTGTTTTGTTTTTGAGAAGGAGTTCTGCTCTTGTTGCCCAGGCATGAGTGCAGTGACCGGATCTCAACTCACTGCAACCTCCACCTCCGGGTTCAATAGATTCTCTTGCCTCAGCCTCCTGAGTAGCTGGGATTAGAGGGATGCGTCATCACACCCAGCTAATTTTGTATTTTTAGTAGAGATGGGGTTTCTCCATGTTGGTCAGGCTGGTCTCGAACTCCTGACCTCAGGTGATCTGCCTGCCTTGGCCTCCCAAAGTGCTGAGATTACAGGATGAGCCACCATGCCCAGCCCAATGATGTGTTCTGAATCACCTCATTTAATTCTTTTTGAGCTCCAGTTTCCTCATTTGTAAAAAGAGGGTGGAAAAACATCTTTCAAAAGGTAAACATACAGATTAATGAGATATTTATTAAAAAAATTTGGAAAATAATGAAGAATCTTAGTTCTAAGCAGTAAGATTTACAGACTAATTTTTATATAAGGCATGAAATGTCATACAAAATTTAAATATTAGTATTCAAAATTGTTTTGGTGGCAGTAATGGAGCTCAGCTAGGAAAAGTAATTAGAAACTAACAGTGTGGCTCCTTGGTGAGTTTTCTCTTCAAAGAAAAAGTAAGCAATATAAATGAGAAACTTCTCATAAAACAAATACAATGCATTGCAGATATACCTTTTTGCAGATTTCTTCAAAGTTGATATCATCACCAAGAGCAGATTTAGTTACTATATCAGGTTTCAATTCCTGTGAAAGAATAAAACAAATTAATTTTAGTTGTCTATTTTTAAATTACCACTAAGTTCCTTCCCATATCTTAAGAAACTTAATATTAAATAACATCTTAATTTTGAGAAAAGAACTAACTCCCACCATAGTAAGATATTATCATGCTATTAAAATAGCTACAGCAAAATGATTTTAAGAGCTAATCTTCCTAAGAACAACATACGAGGCAAGTAAGAAGCAATATTCTCATGAAACTCAATAAAAACAACTATAACCTCAGGATTTTATACCCATTCAAGCAGTTCTTCAAATATCTAACGTATAGAAAAACAGTTCTGAACTGCAAGAATTCAGGAAATATATATATGTGCCTCTCCTGAGGAATCTTCTAGAAGCCAGTAAGAGATAACTTTAATAAAATAATTGATGTTGAGTACTGTATCTATTTGTAGAGCTATGACTAAAATAAGTGGGGGAGGGTATAGGAGAAAGAACAGTAGGTAGGTTTTATATGTTTTGATTAAGCAGGAAAAATTACAACTAGAAAAAGTAGAGGAGACGGGGAAAGAATAAGATTTTGATATGATTTTTTTTTTCTTATTTTAAAATATTTTAAATTTCCCTCAAACCCTCTGTGACTCATGGTTTAATTCAAAATGTGTTGCTTAATTTCCCAACAGTTAGAGGTTTTCCCAGTATCTTTTTGCTATTTTTTGTTTATTTAATTCTTTTATGATTCATGAACATACATTTTACGGTTTCTATTCTTTTAAATGTTGTAGTATTTGTTATAGTCCAGAGTATGGCATATCTTGATAAATATTTCATGTGCACTTGAAGACAGCATATATTCTGTTGGGATCAGTGGTCTGTAAATGCTAAGTCAAACTGGTTGATGCTATTCAGATTATTCATATTTTTACTGTTTTCTTCCTGCCTACTTTATTAAGAGATGTGTTGGAACTTCCAACTATGCACAAGGGAAATGATAAGGGAAAATAAAGAATAAGTGAAAAAATAAGATAGGTCAGGTAAACAGGAGTTATAAAGGATACTGTTCAAAATGGACACAGTAGAAAATAAAAGATTACATAAGAAAATGGAAAAGTACACGCAATATAAGACATATAAATACAATGGCATCCATGGAAAGAAAATACAGACTTTTCCAAGTACTAAAAGAATTTTTTTGAAAATCGCAAAGAAGACACATTAAGTGGAGAAATAAATAGTAAATACAACATAGAATATTCAGTAATTAGAATATAAAATATGATAGAGTAGAAAGCAAAAATCAGGACTATAGTGGAGTGAATTAGTTTAATGTGCCTATTAGAAGAAAAATGTTTTCAAACTGAATCACAAAGCAAAACCTAACTCTATACTGTATATAATAAAGACTCACAAAGAAAACAGTTATTTGAAAAGGCTCAAAGATATACCAGGCAAACAGGAAAAATTAGAAAGCAGGTGTTGAGACTGTGTTTCAGATAAAACTGAGGCAAAGAAAACAAAATTAAGACAAAGAAGATAACATTTATGACTATGTGTTAAATAAAACACAACTATTACATAAAGCAGAAACTACAGGAAATAAAGGAAACAGAAATACTATTTATTAACTCGAGACTCTGACATACAACTCCCAGTTCAAGAAAGAGCAAAATAAGAAAACAAAATTACAAGATCTTAACAACATACATAAGGTCATCCCTTTTATGAATTTATTTAGAATATTATATCCTAATATACAAATTGTATCTTCTTCTGAACTACACATGGGAATATTCATAAAATTATCATCTATTAAGTCAAAGAAAGTATAATAAGAGTAAGCTTAATCAAGTAAAATATTACAAGCAACACTCTCTGATCACAATGAAAAGATTATAGAAAATCAACACATCAATAAAGGAAAAACCCAAAAGGCCCATCTGGAATTAACACAATAAACAAATAAAACCACCTCAATTAAACAAGACTTGGGAAAGGGGAAATATAAACAGATATATCAGAATTTCTAACAATTAATAGGAAAATGTTACATATAAAAATGTATGAAAAGCAATTAAAGTGGTTATTAGCCTTAAAACAACTGTACTGGTAAAAACAAAATAATGAAAGTAACTAAATTAAATTCCTCAACTAAAAATAACCTAAATTACCTCTGTCAGTTCCTCATTTAACAACTGAAAAGTAAGACTCAAATCATGTGATTTGTCCAAGGTCCTGTAACAAGGTGGTAGAAAGACTGACCTTAACTAGTACCTTTATTAGATCATCATCTTTCTGGCTTACTGCCTCTATGATAAATTCAAAAGATCTCTACAATGTCAAAAGCATTGGTGAAAAACTAACACAAAATCAACTTATATTTTATGGTATGTGATGATGTCATATGACCACTTAACCAAGATTATTAGAATCTTGTAGATATGAAAAACATAGGTTTTAAAATGAAGCATGACTTATATGAGCTGTTATTATAACCCTTTCAGCAGAAATAAAAATATACTTATGTTTTTATATAAATGTGAGGTACCGAGCAATCCAAGAAGGTAATTTTGGTAACTTCTCTGGTTTTTCAGAAATATTACAGCATAAATGATGTGAAGGTTCAAAATAAAATATATTTAAAAGATATATAGAAAATGAGGTTGATACGAATTTAATTAGGTTGGTATATTTAAAGAAATATGTTTGCCACTAAGGCTGTGAATTTGTTGTACTAATTATTAGCAATATCCAATGTCAAAATCTGTGAAGGATTTGAGATTTGCAAACTAACAAGTTAGCCAAATACAGTATCGTGGTTGTTGGCAGAAGACACAAGACTCCTGGGTCAGAGACAAAGGGCAGTTTGTTACTCATAGCAATAGCAGAAGCCAGAAAAATTTTTTAAAAGTTCATCCACTGTTTTTTTTTTTTTTTCCTTTTTTTCCCCCCAGAAACCCAAAGCCCCAGATACGTGGTAGATATTAAACTTAAGATATTTTAAAAATCCATGTAATAAAAACTAAAGGAGTAGTTTAAGAAGATAATACCTCTAAAATGGGCTAGTAAGTAGAAACATTTGATTAAGAAAGGGAAAACCATTTGTAGCTCTAGTAGTATGATATGCGAACACAAAGTATGATTGCAATAACCTCTACTTTTAGAGCCTAAGCAGCGATTAATTACACATCGTGTGCTAGGCTGAATAGCTTCTGGAAGATGTCCATGTCTTAATCCCCATAGCCTATGAATGTGTTATTTTACATGGCAGAAGGGACTATGCTGAGATAATTAACAATTTTGAGATAGGTTTATTATCCTGGATTATCCAGGTAAGCCAAATGTAATCATGAGCTTCCTTACAAGAGGGTAGCAGAAAGGTCAGAGAGAAGGAAATGTGGGGGAAAAAAAAAAGTAGAAGGGGGGTGGTAATGGGGAAGATGAAAGGGGAAGAAGAGAAAGAGAGAGGGAAGAGAAGATGCTATGCTGCTTGCTTTGAAGATGGCGAAAAATGCCATGAATTAAGGAATGCAGGTGGCCTTTAGAAGCTGAAAAAGCAGGAAAAATTCTCCCCTAGAGCCTACAGAGAGAATATAGCTCTGCTGAAGCCTACAGAAATAATACGGTCCTGTTGCTGTTAAGACTTCTAACCTTCGGCACTGTAAGACAATACATTTGTGTTGTTTTAAGCCACTAAATTTGTTGTCATTTGTTACAGCAGCACTAGAAAATTAATCTATTTTCTATCTCCTACCAATCTTTGTATTATAAAATAATTCATTATACCATATTATTAGGACAAACACTACATGCCATAAATAATTCCAAGAATCAAATATAATTAAATATTTACCTTTAAGTAAAATATAGACGCATTTGGATGGCTTAAACTTTTTGTCTCATAACATTTATACTTCAGTATTTTGGACAAACTTGTTTCCTTAGTTTTAAATACAACCGTATGTGTCATTAAAAGGGAATACTATGTCCTAAAACATGGTCCATATAAAAATGTAAAAACTGTGTTTAGCAAATACGGATAGATAGAAAAGCTGTGCTGTAACTGGAATTGTCAGGTACTATTTTTTTTTACTTTAGGTTTTTCACTATTTTTTTCACTTTAGGTTCTAGGATACATGTGCAGAACATGCAGGACTGTTGCACAGGTACATACATGGAATGTGATTTGCTGCATCCATTCCCCCGTCACCTATCTCTGGCATTTCTCCCCATGTTATCCATCCCCAACCTCCCTACCCCTCGCTGTCCCTCCTGTCAGATACTATTTTAAGTAAACAATGAGGAACTCAGACTTTTTTTAGATAACACAAAAACTGCAATAAATGATATAAAGTTATTCCTATCTTCCTGTACTTCTTATGCAGAAGAAATCAGGTACTGACTGAGAAAAAGGCTCCTTTTGATGTACTATTACAACTGCACAGATGGCACCTTACATGTTAGTATTCCTGTTAAAAGATAAGAGAAAATTCCACACACAGCTCTTCTGAATCCTCCTAAGAGTCTGATGTGAAGAGCAAAGCTGGAGGCATCACACTACCTGATTTACCTGATTTCAAACTGTACTACAAGGCCACAGCAACTAAAACAGCATGGTACTGGTACCAAAACAGAGATATAGACCAATGGAACAGAACAGAGGCCTCAGAAGTAACGCCACATATCTACAACCATCTGATCTTTGACAAACTTGACAAAAACAAGCAATGGGGAAAGGATTCCCTGCTTAATGAATGGTGTTGGGAAAACTGGCTAGCCATGTGCAGAAAGCAGAAACTAGACCCCTTCCTGACACCTTACACTAAAATTAACTCCAGATGGATTAAAGATCTAAACATAAGACCTAACACCATAAAAACCCTAGAAGTAAACGTAGGCAAAACTTCAGAACATAGGCATAGGCAAGGACTTCATGACTAAAACACCAAAAGCAATGGTAACGAAAGCCAAAATAGACAAATAGGATCTAATTAAACTTTACAGCTTCTGTACAGCAAAAGAAG